AGTTAATCTAATAGCCTATTTCCTCCAAAGGCTTAACTGCAGTTAAGCCTTTGGAGGAAATAGGCTATTAGATTAACTTTGACTACGCACTTCGAATCTTGCGAAAATCGAGAGCAAAGTTGTGAAAATTCACCTTTGGGATAAGTTCGTGGAAACGTTTGATTTTATGATCCATGACGGGTTTTAGATTACGACTAAAAAATCTGAAGGATAAAGAATATATAATATATTATGCATTTGATTAAAATCAAAATTTACTTGAATTCGTTCCCTCGTTTGTGTATCTGTACGCGCTCCCCATCATATTTGATTTCAGTGTATAAACCGCTTGGGCATTTCTTGAATGCTTCTTCAACCGATTTACAGGCATTAGCTAACATAGGGGAAATGGGCGTCATTACTTGCACCTGACCAATTTTACCTGTAACCTAGTTGGACAATTTATTTTACTACATATTAATATTAGGCAAACAAGATTTATTTTGTTTACACATTTACTTTTGTGACTTTAAGAGGCGACGACACCAACTGTTTCTGCTTTCCTGTGGAAGCGAATTGCTTCACAACAGCAGCCAAGTCCCGGGAAGATTGGTAGGCGGGATAGGCAAGTGGTCCAAATGCATCAAGTATATGCCGCGCTCCTGCATTTATACGCAAATCTTGCTTGATTAGACGTATCACCTATTAATTAAACAATTTCAAAACATTTTAAGAAAGTTGGATTATTTTTTTTAAGTTTTCAGCGCACCATTCTCAGGTCTAAAGCAGTTGCTTGCTTGCACAATTGTCGCAACAAATCTGTTTGTTCATCTTCTTTGGTACGCTGTTCCAATTTTATCAGAAATTCTTCAACTTCTTGTAAATAGAGCGAACTTTCTTCTTGCGGTTTTATTTTTTGTGAAGTCTCAAAATACTTCGACAATGTTTCGGAAACGTCGCCATCTGCAATGAAATACTTATTTAAAGCTAATATTGTTCAATAAATAACCTACCTTGTTCCAAATCCCGCTGCATGTCTTGAATATCAGAAGAGAATATCCTTGAGAACAACTTGACCATTTGCTTGTTTTGCAGGTTGTACACCCGGTGACTGGCACCGGGTATTAACATTTGTACCCAAAGCAACACATCGCCTTTAAAACCTTTACGATCAGCACCTTTTTGAAAGAACACTTTCAGCAATTCTGCTTTGTTGTTATAGCTGCGCTCTTCCCCAATTTCATCACAAACGCGACGAAAAGTATCTAGCCGGTTGTCTTGATTTTTAAACATTTCAATGACGAAGTGCCGAGCTGTTTGTCTCACTGTGCTAATTTTCTTTCTTGAACAAAACAAATTAAACATTAAAACCATTAAAACAAATGAAATAAACACGTATTTTCCTTTCTCACCGCAGAAAATTGCAAGCAAATATTCGACTCGCGCGTAAACAAATCAGGCCGCTTTGACACGGCTCAGCTGTTTCCAACAGTTCCAAATGTCAACATCATTCCAGTGTTGTCGGCATCGAGAGTACAGTGCCGATTTGAGTTTTATGGCGGCGTCGATGAAAGAGTGCAGGTATGTGAAGCCTTGAAATTAAAAAAATATTTATATGTATGTATATGAAATAAATGTTTTATTTTCTAGATCAAATTTCTGGATTTTCATATACCAGCAGAAACAAAAAATTCAACGGAATGCAAGCCAAATGATTCATTGCAATTGCTAACCCTAGTGCGAGGGAAATATGAGCCTACTGAAACATTTTGCGGCGCATTCCTACCAAAGCCAATCATGTCGAATGGACCCAAGATTTTATTACAATTTGTTGGGCGCTATCCGCCGACTGGTTCAAAAATCAATTATTACGGTTTCAAAGCAGAGTACAAGTTTGTTAAGAGTGCGTTACTTTTATAAATACCTACATGTATGTATCGTAGTGAATTAATATACAGGCATGTTCTGAAATTCGAAAATTTTAAATCGACTTGATTTCGATAATTTTTTCGATGGTTTTTAACCAAAAAATTTACAACTCTCGCATTAAAATTATTTATTTCATATCGCTGTTTCTTCTTTTACGGTTTTCAATTAGACTATTCACTCTTTTCATCAGATATAATTAAAAACTATTTGGCAATTCGAGTCGATTTCAAAGTCTCGAATTTCAGAACATGCCCGATAAAGTGTACGTCGTCATATTTGAAAGCAAAATTGTTATTATTTTTTCCTTTCATTTCTGTTGTTCGCTTTTTTCAAATCTGGCCTTAACCCTTCGTTTTTGGACTGAAATCAGCATGAATTTCTTGGCATTTTTCCTTTAGTTTTTTATTCAAATCCAAAAAAATACATAAGTTCTCACTCAAAGGGGTTAACGTGAAAGTCAAATCAAAGAAAATTTCCTGATAATAAATTATCAAATAAGAATACCAGAATGTCATTGCTATCTGGCACACTTTATATGCTTTCATCCTGGTATGTATCACTTATATACGGGGTATTCACACCGATCTCGTTACTTCGGTACTTGGTAGCTTAACGCACATTTTGTTTTTCTTAGGGCCAGTTTAAACTTAGATCACGTAAACTGCCTTTATATTGAACATCTGCCTGACATTTGATTGGCTATTCT